TCAGCATTATTTGCCTCACCAACAACAGCAGCATTCATCCTCTGGATCTCAGTTTAGCCTTCCTAATGCGACCCCCGCTGACAATTCTCTGTATCGATCAACCTCTCCTCGGCCTCCAAGCTCAATGTACGGCAGACCTGGTGCCACAACTCCAACTAGCTCGTACACTCGACATTCGGTCAACCTGGGTATTCTTGGCTCTGGCAAGATCATCAAGGCATCAAGCTCCATCTGGCGTGATCTTTTTTCGAACCCGCAAGAAACCGAGCTCAATGTGCCTGTCACAATCATGCCAGCCTCCCTGATATCACAGATTGCATTCCCTCCTGTCTTTGATGAGCCGGATCCTGCAGCAAACGGTCATCACGCTAACGGTACTACAGCAACATCAGCAGCAGCAACAGTAGCTACAGCAATAACAACAGCACAGGAAACAAACGGTGTGCATCCAGTAGCATCTCTGCCTAGTCTGGCCGATGCTCTCATGTCAGTTCCACGGCCTCCCTCTCTCGAACCGCTCTCGATGCCTGAGCCAATGTATATCGATCAGCCGTCGGATCAGCATGCAATATCCAGTTTGGCAAACTCTATTATGGGCGATGATGACACTGCAATGGCAGATGACTCCGAGACTACATCCAGCCACATGACACAGCCAGAACGGAGTAACTATCTCAGTCATGCGATGGACATCCTTCGTAGATAAATTTTTGCATCTCAAGTACTCTTTTACTCTACTCTTTCTCTGCCTTCCTCATCTACTTTATTGTGTCGATACCCTTCTCATCTACATTCATTCATTCATTCTAATCCTCTCTCTCTCTCAATCGCGTTTATTCTTTCTCTTTCTCTTTCTCTTTCTCTTTATCAATGTCTCTTTTCTCTCTTGTTTATCTCTTTCCCTCTCCATCTATCTCTCTCTCGCTGTCTGTTTATTTATGTTTTACCTGATGGCGATCAGTGGAAGGTGGAGCTTGAAGATGGATGCTGCATGTCGTACATGATGTATACCAAGCGTGTTAGTGCGAATGCACCCATTGCAAATGTCACATGCAGCGCTCTGTGAATGACAAAAGTCCACACACCGCCGAGTGTTGAATGCCTCAATTTTCGGTCCATCAAAAAGCATCGCCTCGTTTCTGGTAGATGATCTCTCTGCTCCTTGTTGAAAACCTCCACATTTCCAACGCTCTCTTTTGCTCTTCATCATCAAGCACGAGTCTCTCCCCTCCCTCCCTCCCTCCCAAGGAAGAAGAAGAACAGCAACAAGAAGATGGGCAGCTTCACGTTCTTGCGACGCTACACAAAGCACATTGACCTTATCGAGAAGTGCTATGCTACGGCTCCTGCACCAGCACCAGCTGCTAGCAGTGGCACCAACGGCACAAACTCTGCTACTGCTCCGCCGCCAGTAGTCCATGCCAACGCCAACGAACTCTCCTATCTCGTCTACTATGCATCCAACAAGCCGGCCAAGCTGCCCAAAGTTGCCAAGTATCTCGACTGGCGTATTGCTCGAGATGCATACCGTCAGCGTGAGCAGGACGTGCGCATTACTCTTGAGATATTCAATGCTCTGCTGCAAAACTGCCACAGTGAGCTAGTCTTCTTCTCTTTGAACCTGCTTACCTCGCTCAAGGCTGTGCTGGCCATGAACAATATTGTATTGCGCAGTGAAGCCATCCGCACGTTTTGCCTCTTTTGCAAATATCATGTAGGTGGAAGTGCTCTGACCATCAACCATCAGCTACGTGCCAATTATCAATCAGTTATTGAAACACTGGTTGCACCTGCACTGAGCGGCGGAATTCATCTCAGTCAACTTCAGCAACAGCAACAGCAACAGCAACAGCAGCAAGCTCAAGGAAAGTCTCAGATTCCGAGAGAACAAATCTTGCAGAGTCGCATGCTGGCAATGAAAGCCGTGGCTGCAATTGCGACATCTCCAGCTACTCACAATGCAGACTCTCGTCGCGAATTGCGATACATTCTGCCTGCCATCTTTGCGAACCTCGGTCTTGAATCAGCGCCTGTTCTATCGGATCCATCCTCGTTGGCAAACAGCACCGCAGCATCGTCCTCTCAACTTGCGCCGCCAACAAAGGCTGAGCGCGAGTCGTACATCTCCAAAGAGGTCAATGTTAGTGATGCATCCGCCATAACGATTGATGAGCTGCAGCGTCTCTCGTGGTCGATCTTGGCCGAGATTGCTGCTCTGACTGATGCATCGGCCACCAAAGTTCTCGTTCAGAGCGCGATTGCCTATTGTGATGAGGCCGAGTTGTGGGAAACAGATGCATTTGTCCGTCTTGCGTCTTGCCTAATGTCATCAGTGCAGCCACAGTATCGCTACAATGTAATGTTTGGTGCCATCAGCCAGCTCAACAGCACTACCTCAACACCGGATGCAGCTGCGAAGCGTTTATGCCTTGTGCACACTATAGCTGCCATGCTGTCGAGCAACTATCAGCTGGTCGGCGTCTCTGTTCTTGAAATTCTGCACACTCTCATCAAGCACTTCCTCGCGTTGCTGCCCACCTCTGTTGGTGCATTGATTCGATCAACCCCTCTTATCCCAGCAGACAGCCGCAGCGCTGATGCAGAGAAGCTGCGTCGCATGTCAGTTGTGTCCAATTCTTCAGCCAGCCAACACCCATCGGGATCTGACATTGCGTTTGAGACTCGCTTGGCTTTGTTCCGTGCCATTGGCGGCCTTGGATACCACACATATTACTCAGACCAGTTCACACACATCATTGAGTTCATTATCAACAGATTGGATGTGGCAACATCTCTCGTCGATCCCGCCCTGGCTCTCACCAGCAGTCCGCAGCAGCAGTCTCTCACAGTGGATGGAGTTGGCGAAGTCAACACTGCTGAATCCGCGGCACGCACACAGCGCACCATTCGTCAAATTGCACTCCTGCGCTGCCTTGCCGTCATTCTCCAGCGAAACACCATTGCCCTCCGCAATACAGCGACATTGACTGTAGTATCGGTTACTCCACTCCGCACGATTGCTCCGATCATTGAGCTGCTCTTGGCTGGTCCACACCAGCGCGAGCTCAATATCGCAGCCAGTGACTTCCTGATGGCCTTTATGCGCCACAATGTTGCAGAGCTGTGTCGCCGGCGTACTATTGAGCTCAGCGGACATTCCGCATCTGCTCAAACTCAGCAACAGCTGCAGCCGCACTCTACTACTCAGACCAGCGACATATTGAGCGGACACCTTCCACAGGTCACACATCAACGCGCGCCATCTAGCGGAGCATCCGGCTCGGTTGAAGATAACGCTGCTCGTGAATCATTCCATCGCTACCTGTACGAGACTGCTGCCAATGCTAAACACACAAATGACATTGCAGCCTTTGCTGTTCTCCTCTTGCTGCTCTTGCGTAGATATCGTGAAGATGAAGTGATTCCGGTTGTTCCCATTCTGCTCAAGCTACGCACTCTTGCATTTGCCAAAGCTACCCAAGCTGCTGCTGCTGCTGCTTCTGTTCCAGGCTCTTCTCCAAACTATACCAGCGGTGGTCCGCAAGCTCTCCTGGCTGCCATCTCAACTGCCACCTTGATGTATCTCAAGGAAGTTGGCGAGTTACTCGATATTCGTCAACTCAGACAACATGTTGGTAAGATTATTGCATCAAACAAGGCCACTGGCACCAGCTGGCACGGAACAGTTGAATCGGCTATGCATGGTGAAATGGCATCCCTCGCCGCCGCTTGGCCATTAGTGGCTCCAAAGGTGGTCGATGCCACATCACCAGTTGTTGATGGTTCTGCGGTCGAGATCTCCGATTTCATTACCCTTGATGAAATCATTGCTGATCTGAGCAGCTCATCTCGCGCCAAGGCCATGTTCTCTGGTGATTTGCGGTCTCGATTGGAATCTGAAATGGCTTCCGTTGGTTCTCCGTATTCAGGTAGTCAGAGAGGCTTTGGCGGTGTTCGTCGCGTTCGCTCAGTCAAGTCTCGTATCCAAATTACTGGTTCCGAGGGCTACACGGGTCCACGTCCACGTCTCAACACAGGCACCAGTCACACCGGCACAAACTTGACAGTTGGCGATCGTGCTGATGGTGGTCAGCAGTACCGCCTCGCGAGCTTTGGTCGCTATGACGTCTTTGATGATGACGATGCTGCCAGCTCGACGTCGTTTGCAGTTGGCGTTGATAATCTGCGTAGCGCATTGCACAGCTTTGCGCTCCCGATGCTGTCTCCAAACACTCAGCTGCCGAGCCAACAGGTATCTGACGAGTACATGGATTCGGGCGATGATGACGGCGACGACGATGACGACGAGGCCGGTGCCAGTGGTCACGTTGCAACAGCCAACGGCCACTCCAAGCACGCCAATGGCAGTCGCACCGGTGCAGCAATCGCAGTGTCTCCGCTGACTCGCGCCAGCATCCCCAGTCTCAAAGTCCACTCTCGCACATCGCGCGTTAGTCTGCGTGCAACAACAACGACAACAACAGCGGCCACTCACAACAATGGCACTGCCATCACTACTACCTCTACGGCAGCCATGATGACATCGTCCATGGTTGTTGGCTCTCCCACTTCGGCAATCATCACCACGTCGGCCGCAAACATCCACAACGTGGACGACCTGCTGAACAGCATCCAGATCACCTCTCCGCCGATGCAAACGAGCGGGTCGCAGACGTCGCTTGGCGCTGGTGGCCGCCATCCGTTTGTCATGAACCTGGCACTTGGAGCAGGCGGCGGCGGCAGCAGCACCACGTCTCTGGTTGAAGCACCGTACCGCCGCTAAACTTTGCCCTAAACGATCATTCTTGCAGTCTTTTTATTGAACTCTCTCTAATTTTTTTTTTTACACTTTCCTTCAATGTTGGAATCCATGCCAATGATACACAACAACAATAGCAAACCAAAACAAAGAAAGCGGCGAATGGCTGACCAGATGGCAGAAGCATATCAAGACACAAGCAAGCGATCATGTGCTCTCGAAGGAGAGCAACAAAAACAGATACCGAACGTGGGACTCGAACCCACAATCCTCGGTTTAGAAGACCGATGCCTTAACCATTAGGCCAGTCCGGCTTGTCCTGATTTCTGATTTTTAAAACATGTGTAGTACGTTAGTCTCAATGTTTAATGATACACCTAAACTGTGATTATGAGTGCCGGGAACCCAAGGATCCACAATAAGTTGGGTTTGGCAACTTGTCCGTGTGATATCGCCTCTTTCTTTGAAGTCGTCGTTTCATCTTCATCGTTTGTAACAAATATACCGGATGGAATTGGCGTTGATGATTCACGTATGCTTTGTGTACGACTTGTGCTTGGCTGAGGATGAAGAGATGGTTCCATTTGTGATGGAATTGGAGTTGATGAGCGTGTACCTTCGTTTGCCTTGTATCTGCTTGGAATAACGGTTGATTGCTGAATGTCTGCTTGACTAGCCTGAGTTGCTTGTGAGAATGAGGAGATTAATGGCGACGATGGCAGGGATGAGCCGTCGGAAGAGAGTGTCGACGCCGATGGCATCGGAGGAGGTGGAGGAGATGGTGGAATTGATGTCATTTTCACAAACGGGGATGCAGTTGCATCCAGTGCTGACTGAGATGGCTGTTCACCTGGCGATTCCTCAGGAGGTGCTTGCATAGAGACGCGAGCTGGCAGGTTGACCTTGCTCACTGTTGCTGTCGGTTGGGCTGGTTGTGGGATCGGTGTTGCTGGTGCTGGTGCTGGTGCTGGTGCTGGTGCTGGTTCCGTTGCTGGAGTTGGCACTTGTGGGTGTGATTGTGTTGCTGCGGTTTTGTACGGGTGGAGTTGCTCTATGTGAGCTGATGAATATGTGCGAGTAGCAGTTTCCTTTGGTTTAGCCATCTGAACATACTGCGGCGCCTGCGCCTCTACAATGGCTTGGATTAAGCTTAACACTAATACTGAACTGAATAATGGCGTCTTCATATGTTTTAGTAGTTTCTTTTTTGATTTGATTTGATTTGATTAGTGATACTGGACAGGTAGAAATGGGGGAGACGGGAACGTGGCCAAATCGCATGGTCCACCACATGTTCATCTCGGTTCCAAAAGTTAAAAAAAAGGAGATGGATAATAGTTTCAGCAATAATTAAAGCTCATCATGCTTAGGGGTGCTTTCTTTGCTAGTTAGTGGTGCACATTTCGCATCCGCCAGCGCCATTGTATAAGTGCCTTCCTGGGCAACCCAGACAGCATCATCGTTGGCACCCAAATCGCTTCCAGACACTGCAGACACTTCAACCCATCCTTGAATTGGCTGACCAAATGTGTGCTTGGAGGAAGCGGACAGATACTTGCCAGTGACGGCGTGTCTCAATCGAATGCCATACTCGCGCAGCCACCATGATTCCAGCAGCTTTTCATCGCTCAATCCGTTTGTGCTTGAATAGCAGGGTGGTTCTCTAGAAGAGTCGGCTTGGCTCGCGTTTGGTCCAAAGCACTCGACAATCCAAACATCGCCACTGTCTCGACCATCATATCCACTAACCTCCTGCTGGCCAGAGAGCGGCGATTCATACTCAGCGTGCGAATGCAATGCGCGTCCGTTATCGTTGTGAAGCAACACAATCTCCATACCGCAGTGAACAGGCTGACCAGGTCGCACATCAAACTTGCCGCTGCCTGACATGATTTTGGGCAGCAGCGACCATGATGCCTCAGCGGACACTGCGCTGGGTGGAGCGGCAACAACCGCGTTTTGCCCACTGCCGCGACCGCCACCATACGAGATCGATGGCGAATGCAGCTTATAGCCAGTGGCACGGTGTGTTAAACGCAAAGTGGATCCAATGGCCACGACACGGTATTCAGACTCGATTGCCGGAGCGTCGGCAGCACGAGGGTTGGCGTGAGTTCGAGCAGCAGCGTCACCCTTGCCGCCTCCAAAGATGTTGCCGAAGTCGAAGCCAGCCGACACGCTGGTGGCAGCAGTAGCCAGCAACAAGCTGATCAGGGTTATACGCATCTGGGTTGTGGTTGCAGTTGCAGTGTTGTCTTCTTTGTATTCTCTGTCCAGGCGAGTTTGCTCTGATGAAGACCAATCTACTTCTCCAGCAACCACAACAAAAACATCAAAAAACAACAAAAACAAAAACAACCAGCAAAATCAGCAGTCTGCGATGAACTCAACGAGCAAACCAACGAGCAAGCCTGCAGATCCTTACAGGATTCGAAGCGAACTTCGACGGATGCTCGAGCAGCTGGACGCCAAAGAATGTGAGAAACGCCGGATAATTACATTCTGTCTCAAATATACCAACACAGCCGCCGCCACCTCTTCTTCCTCTCTATCAGCAAGTCCTGGTCGCAGCCAGCCGTCCACTGCTTCTGCTATAGCCACAGCCGAAGGTTCATCATTTGTTAGTCAAATATTTGCAGAGATAGTCGAGTATCTGACACGTTTGCCTGTGCCATCGCGCACTGGAGTGATGGTCATTTTGAACGACATTCTTGAGATGGAACATCGCAGGCTTCGCTTTGCTCATCGGAAAGCACTGGATGACCTTCGGAGACAGGACGGCCAGTGTTCGAGTGCAATCAACACAGATACTTTTGCATGGCACATTTACTCGCGATTGCCTCTGCTGGTTGGACTAGTGACATCTGAAGAGCGCATCGAGGATGGTGCGAATATATTACCAGTGCGTAACCAGATTCAGAATTGGCAGCAAAAGGGCTATTTTGCACTATACGATGCCGCTCGGCAGTATGACGCATTGCCCTATCCACTAGTCACATCAGCATCGCCCGCAACATCAGCACCCAGCTCTGACAGCAGCATTCCAGTGGCAAATGAACCCAGCGTAGTGAATATTGACTTCACTAGCGAGCATGTCAAGAAAACTAGCTTGTGTTCCATTCTCTCCGACTATCTTAATGGCCGTCATGCCAAGCTCCTGAAGCGAATAGCAGCAGAGTTCGAGAGCGGCGAATGGTTCAGGACTGCACCACCAGCTGTGACACGAGCACAGTCATCGGAACCGTGTGATGAGCTTCCCCACGCACCAGCCAGCCCACGACTCGATGGAGACACTGCTATCAGCGCTGCAAATACTGGAAATGCCGTCACAGCAGACCACTCTGCTCTGCCCAGCGTCTCATCTGTACATAGTCCGCATGCGATCCGCGATGACGATGAAGCGGTAGCCGCTGTGTGTAACGATGACGACGCACCGCTGTCTCCAGAGCCGCCCAGACTGGAGTCTCCAGATTCGCCAGCACTGCATCCACAAGATATACCCAATGTCAATCCCAGCACATCAACAGCGGAAGCCACTAAGAACAAAGCCAATGGCAGAGCTCGTGGAGTTAAGCGCAAGGAACAAGACGATACAGCACCAGTTGGCAGTTTGCTGATCTCCAAGGAAGACATTGAGCGACACCTGGAGGATGATCGGGATCGATACAAGCGATACAAAGAAGATCAATGGAGAAGGCCTGTGGATGAAACGCTCGATTCCGAGTTTGACGACATGTGGGAGAATACTGAAAGCCTCAGCGATGATGATATGCGCGCACTTCAACGCGATAATGAGATTTTCAAACTATTCACCAGCAACAAGTTTTCTACCATGCCTCCAGTGTCAACTAATCCGACTACACCGGCTGAACCTAGCCTCACTTCGTCTGCTGGCAAAACTGGTGGCCCGATGAAGTACTCTACTCCCACTAGACGCTTGTAATAATAACGCCTCTTTTGTTTTTGTTTTTGTTTCTAAAGAAAAAGGGATATGCTTTAAGATGTTTAGTTAAGAAAAGAAAGAAGGGAAGAGCTGTGTTCTTTAGATCTTCTTGTAGCCTGGAACACGGCCAATTTCGACGTTGCAAGTGCCGCAGTAGTAGACGTCGTCCTTGATACCATCAAACAGCAGTGGCACCCAGAAGAGTGGCCCACAGATGGCGAACGCACCAAAGGAGGCAGCTGCAGAAGTTGGACCGAGCTTCTTGTCAACTTTGACAACGCTCGATTTGGTGCAGTGGTGGCAGGTGAGACTTGGCGGGAATGCTGGATATGTTGCACTTCCGGTGTTTACACTGCATGTGTGATGAGGTGGATGGGAGAATTCAAAGCCATGGGGCAGCTGTGAAACGTGTGGGTTGGCTTGAGCCCGAGCCTGCGCTTCGGCAGCGTCGGCAGCGGCGATGGCAGCAGAAATGGACTCGTGTTCCTCTTTGGTGAGCTTGGCGGCAGACATTTGGGGAAGAGTGGAGGAAACTGTTATACGGTTATAAAGTGTACAGAGTGAGTGAGGAAGGCTGTGAGAGTGTTGTGAGATGGAGAATGTTGTAGTGTGTGCTGGTGCAAGCTGGAAGCAGGAGGGAGGGAGTGCAAAGAGTTTGTTTGTCCTGCATCTGTATTTATGAAGCTGATTTAAATGCCAAGACCACCCACTGGAAGGTCTTGGCAAACTACAACCAACAACCACACGCACAACCTTGCCAAGGCACATACCCTTTTTGTTACCCAACCCGACCCCCATCGAAATAGAAATCATTCTTTCGTAGACAGGTGCTTATGCTCATTGTTTAAAAAGGGGGCAATCAAACAGATCCTTTTAGAAGTACAACTTGGGTGGGTGGATAAAAGTACAGAAAGTTAGGGTAGGAAAACAGAGAAGACTATCTCTTTAAGGTGGAGTAGCAACCAGGTGCTTGAACGCACGGAATATGATAAAGTTAGCAGTTACTGACCACTTTCCATTGCGGTAGCACACTGGACGCAAGTCCTCACGAACTTCTTCCAGCACTTCACGCTTCTCTTTGGCGCTCAACATTGGCAAGTGGCTCTCAACAAACGTTTCAAACCATGCGTCAACGCCATGCGGCAAGGCCATGAGTTCAACACGGTTTTCCATCACATCGACCGTGAATCCGCAGCGTTCCAGCAGCAGCTTGTATTCATCAGAACTTGGGAGATACAGCGTGGTCCAGTTCTTGCCCTTTTCGTACCCACGCTTCTCCATGGCGCGTGACAATGCAAGCATGGTCTCGGAGCCAGTCATGTGGCCGACAAATTGCGCCACAAACACACCACCGGGCTTGAGAGCCTTATG